GACGCGGACCGAGTCGAAGCAGGGCAGTTGGCCACAGACAGTGGATATAAGGGAAGTAAACGGGTACCAAGGGGGCGTTTTCGAGGATGCGTGCCAGGCGTACCCAGCATCCCGGAAGTTGACTGAGAGGGGAGTGACGTGACGCAAGGAAGCGTGCACGGTGTCCTCAGCCACCGCTGCCAACGTTGACTGAAGACAACAGACACGGACGGTGAACAGCGGCGCGTGCAGCGAACGTATAGTGGTTTCGTGTTGCCGCAGCGAGCGAGTGTGTCGGAACAGCGGACTAGGGGTGTGCAGCGGAGATGGGGCCTGTTCGTGCCCGTTCGCGGGAGCCAGCGGAGGATGAGCGGTAAGTAATCTGGGCCTGACATGAGCACGAGGAGACCAGTGGGTGCTCTCTTCCCTCAGCGTGCCAACCGGGACATCTCCCTGAGAAGAATTGCACAAGGGAACTAATTAAGCTCCAACCTACGAGGTTGAGGGACGGTTGCGCACACGGCTGCTCACACAGGGCGCACAAGCTTCTGCTCTACTTTCCTGTGCAGGAACCAGGGCATGATCCTGGTCACATACGTGTACTGAAATCTCAGTAAATGACCAATCAGATCGGGACAGACCAGCACAAGCATAATCAACGCACCTCTAATTAGCGAACTGGTACTGAAACGAAATTTTGAAACTGCGCACCAGTTGACCAGAGAGACTGAGGGAGAGGGAGACAATGGACTGAGGGAGAGAGAGAGACAACGGACTGAGAGAGAGAGAGACAACGGACTGARGGAGAGAGAGACAAYGGGCAGAGAGAGAAGAGAGAAAGAAGAGWGAAGAAAGAGAGAAGAGAGAGAGAGAGAGGGAGAAAGGGGGAGTACGGAGTGCATGAAGGAGAAGGAGAGTGTGCGTGAGTGAGAAAGAGAGAACCTGTGTAGTATTTCATTTATTTTATTTTGCACATGACCCCWAGGACAGGGCAGGTACATTCAGGACGGGGTTAGCATGGAGTTGCTCGTGGGGCGGAAGTGAGAAACCTGGTAGAGAGCATGAGCAAGCGGGATGACGTGTATGAGAAAGGAAAAGTGAAAGAAGCATAGAGAAAGAGGAAAAGATTGTGAACACAGAGAAAGAGTGAGAGAGACTGTGGAGAGAGAGAGAGAGAGAGAGAGAGAGAGAGAGAGAGAGAGAGAAAGAGCGGACTGAAAAGAGAATAAGAGAGAGTAAGAGAGCGGTAGTACGTGTTCATGGGAGAGAAAGAGAGATCAAGAGGAAGTGGGAGAAAATGAGAAAAGAGGCGGGAGCGTGAAGAGCAGGCCGCTGTGAGATCCAAAAAAAAAAAAAAAAAAAAAAAATCTAAGAGAGAGCGAGGGGAAGACTATTTTCTCATTAATTAGTTCCCCTGTCGTTTTCCCTCGAATACAGCACATGGCTCGTTTCACTTGCGATGACTGTGTGTAGTACACAAGAGGAAAAGGATAGTAGAAATGGCTTATTGGTGTGAGACCGCGCTCTGCAGATGATGGGAAGCACTCCGCTGATAATGAGAAGCACTCCTGCTGATGATGAGGACAGGCCCGCCGCTGCAGGAGTACACAGGCATTACCGCTCGTTATGAAGCGGGTCACTTGATAGATGATGAGATCA